TGTATTGGGTTCAAAATTACAAGACTACACAGTTGAACATTAGTAGTTGTAAACCCTGAAATTGGATCGGCTGTTCAACGACAGTAATAAAATAAAATACTGAGAAGGACAGTTTGAGGATAAATCCAGGGTAAAAGCGGGATTCAAACACGCAAACTCTACGCTTAGAATTAGATTATTTATTCTAATTTCTGCTCTTTTTTTAAAGATGTTTACCAAATAGTCTGCCGCGCACTGCTATCTTACCTTTCATAAAATTTGAATTCCAAAAAAACTAATAACGGATAGAAAATTAGTAAGCTAAAAGCGTAAAAATATTTTCACACAGTTCTTCGAAACTCATTTAATGTCAACAATTTTTTTTTATTAGCATTTGAATTGCTTTTAGCATTAATTAAACAAAAAGATAATTTTTAAATTAAAAAAATTCGACTAAAATAAAAAAAATTCTTTAAAACTACAAATTTTGGGGTGCACAAACCTTTTTTAATACTTACTCTGCATGTTGACTAGTGATAGGTTGCTTGAGTATTTTATGTTATAGTAATTTTTATATAAATATTATATTCAGAAACGAAATTATCTGCAGGGATGGGGCATATATATATATCATAAGATCAAAATAGTACTAGTATTTCAATTTTTGCTTTATTTAGGCCGATATTCCACTTGTTATTTTTGAGCTAGTTTTAGTTTCAAATTTATTATAAGTGCTCTCTTTTATTTTGAAGTTTTATTTGGAGAAAAATTATTGAATTGTGTAGGATATTATAAATGGTGTATACCTGTTTGGTGTGGTTCTGTAACGAAGTGAAGAAGAAATTTACTCATTAGTAAGAGATAACAAAACTGAAATAATTCATTTGCTAGTTTAAAACAGTGCTTAAAATTCGAGGAACCAGTTTATTTGTTTATTTATTTTCTTGATAAATTTGTGTGTATTGTGTAATACTTAGCTTTGTTAATCTGAAATGCTCTAATGTTTTTAAACATTTCTTCTCAGTATTCCAATTGCTATTTTTAATTGAAATATTATCTTTATTTCATTGTTTTGTAACTGTTATATTAAGATACAAAGACTACGGTGTTCATTCTGGACCTTAAAAAGGCCATTGGAAACTGGAAAGAGCCCCTAAAAAAGGGCACCCATCATAAAAAAAAGCATTTTGTACAAATATTTGCTTGACTTTTAAGACACTCAAAATATACAAAATTTATCACTAAAAAATTTTTTTTAGCGATAATTAGTTTAAATTTAAAAAAAATAGTTCCTTAGTTAAATTGGTACTTTTTAGAAATTGGTTTTAAAGTGAGCTTATTATCAAATTTCGAAGCTCATAAAAAGTATCGATATGGTTTGAGAGTTGGTTGGTGTGAAATTTACAGTTTTGCAAAATCTTCAGATTGTTTTTTTTTTCATGTTGATAGCTATGCTTATTTATGTACTTAATTTAAAATATTTTTTCTTTCTTATCTAGATGATGAAATTGTTGGACATCCTTGAAATTCTTTTGGAAGCTGAAGATTGCAAACAAGAAAGAATTGATGGTGATATCATTGGTAGTCGAAAACTAGAGGCTATCAGCTGATCTAATGGTTAGTTAGTAATTAACAATAAACTTAAATTTTACATACAATTTATGAACTTTGATTAGATTAGAGAGATGATTGTGCTCCGGAAAAAGTACAGATTTTCCCCATGTATTTTAAAGTTTCCTTCTTGAGGTAAATGCTTAGAAAAAACGACTCACAAGAATTTACAATAGGTAGTTAAAGGTATTTACATAATAAAATATTTACATAATTAAAAAATAACTTAAGCCAATAATTCTCTTTCTTGTGTGTTTTAAAATTTATAATAACTACTGAAACCAAACTTTAAATTTATTAATTGATAGTGAATGAGTTCTTATATGACGAGCCTACAATAACTACTGAAACCAAACTTTAAATTTACTAATTGATAATGAATGAGTTCTTATATGACGAGCCTACAATGTGAATTTTTAACATGTCGGTCATTTATTAATTTATTTTTGTAACATAATAGATCTGCTAAATGTAACTAAGGTGCTGGTTTTCACTTTTGCTACCTAAATGTTTCATTTACTACCTACCTTTAACTACCTTGCATTACCTTTTATATTTTTAACATTCTATTATGTAAACACTTTTTAAATGGTATAGTTATATAATGATCAATTATCGTTTGTTGAAAGTTTAAAATAATCCTATCATTAATTTTACTTAGTGTTAAATTCTTCTAGTCTATTTCTTTATAACAGGAATAAGAAAATTACTATGAGCATTGTTGTAAGTAGGGTGTCAGCACTGTAAAATGCATATTTATCTACTGTTAATTTAATAGAATATTAAGTCATGTCTGTAAAATACGCTACAGCAGATAAGATACTGTAAAATTTGTATTTCACTATTTAGATATTATATTATATTATATAATACCCTGGGTATTTATCCGGGTAAATACTTAAAATTCATAAATACCTGGGTATTTATGAGTTTTATTGAAACTTTTATGATCATGTTCTTTTGGGTGTTAAAAAATTATATGTATTTAAGGTACAATTAAGATTTACTTACATGGTCAGAAGTTAATTAGTTCTTAACTAAGAAGAAAAATTCCTTCATAAATGATTAAAATCATTGTATTTTAGATTTTATTTGAGAATGGCTATGGTTTAATCATCCTGAAGTTCACAGTTTGATTCCTAATTCCAAATATTTATTGGCTTCTCATCTTAGAAATATATTTTTAAAATGTAAAATATTTTTCAGATTTTAGGTAATTTATTTTAGAAAATTCATCATACAAAAATTTCTCTTTATGTGAATACTATGCAATCTAACTCTGATCTATATTTAGTTGTAAAAGAAAAAGTAAAACAAAAAAACTGTTTTTCAATAAACAGCTTGAAAGCTTTTTTGTATAACTCAAACAGAAAATTATTAGAAAATAAGCATTTAATGGCGTATTTTTTAAAATAAAGTATTTATTTAAAAAATAACTTTAAAATTGGTTAAAAAAAAGTCATTAATATTCCTTTTCGGAAAAAGAGATACTTATGCAAATTTTACCATATAAAAATAATTCTAACAAAGTAAATATTTGTAATAATATTGAAAATTAAATCTATGAACACAGATAATTTTACCATTGTGTAATTATCATTTATTTTTCTTAAAAATGGAATATGAATAAATAGGCAGTGTTTCTAAAAGATGGTGGCTATTTTTACAGAAAGGGCAAAGAGGGTACATTTATAGGGATCAAAGGGTAGACAGGGCTTCTAAAGTTGTTTAAGGAAAACTCTGCATAAATCCTATGTAGTGATATAAATACACATTAAAATAATACATAAATATATACACATCACATGACACCGTCTATAAAGTGCCACCCTGGCTTCCATAATTCTATAAACAAACATTAAAGAAAGAGTTATCTTTAAAAACTCATTTAATTTTTAAAGCAAGAAGAAGAAGAAGAAGAAGAATAGTATTGAAATTTAAATATATGAACACAGATAATTTTATCATTTAATTTTCTTAAAAATGGAATATGAATAAAAAGGCAGTGTTTTTAGGAGATGGTGACTATTTTTACAGAAAGGGCAAAGATGGTGCATTTATAGGGATCAAAGGGTAGACAGGGCTTCTAAAATTGTTTAAGGAAAACGCTGCATAAATCCTATGCACTGATATAAATACATATTAACATAATGCATAAATATATATACATCACATGACACCCTCTATAAAGTGCCACCCTGGCTTCCATAATTCTATAAACAAACATTGAAGAAAAACTTATTTTTAAAAAATCATTAAATTTTTGATATTCTCCCTTATGTATCCACAAAGCTCTTATGTATCCACAATGCATATTTTTTTTCACCAAGGTGTTTAATTTAAAGAAATATTTAATTGAAACTTAATGTTATAAATTTAATTAAAAATGCTTAGCTGTAAAATAATCCGTAAAATAATCAATATTTCACATAAAACTGAAAATTAAATGAAAATGAAACTTATGAAACATTACCTCACTAGCTCAGACAGCAGTGTCAGATGCTTAAATATTTGTTAGTCTAAATTTGTAATTTTTGTTTTTGTTTGTTTCATTAAATCACATTAAGTTTTAAACTCTTAGTTCTATTTACATGTACAAATTCAGCAGAAACAACACCTCCCTGTTTAGATATCAAAGTTTTAAGTTTTGCACCACTCTGACATCTTCTGTAAATTTAAGAGCTGCAAAAGCTCACTTTGAACTTAAAATATTGACATTTTGCTTTAAACTTTAACTTCTAACCTTTTTAAACTATAACTTCTTTTTCTTAAACTATAACTTAAACTTAAATAATTACCAGCTTTCCTCTAAATATTTTACTGTTCACTTATTTTGATAGAATGTTTTTATAATTTTTTTTTAAAATTCTAAGTAATAAAGGCTCATAGTTTTACTAGTTCTTTAGTTTTGTGATTAAAGGAGTAAATATGTAGCCTCGAAGAATATCCTCCAACTTAAATTTTTAAGATCAGGACGCGTCGTTAAAACAAAAGTAATAAAATTTAAGTTTCAAAATTGAAGCTTATTTGATTGAAAGTGATAAAACTAAATTAATAAATGTCAAGCACACTTACCGAATTTCGAATAGACTTTCGATTGCAGGGATGCTACTCGCAA